AGATAATTAAGTGCACCGAGTTTGGTATAAATTTATACAAATTGACAGCATCGCGACAATTGTGCACCCTACGTCGAATTTGTCCAAAAGCAAGTCAGACGCATTCTAAGCTAACCTGTTGAAGGATTACATAGAGATCACACTGCGTGATGCTGCACCAAATGTCGATAGTGAAACAACCGTACACCACATTGTCACCAATGGTCCCCCAGTCCACGAGCGCCCACGCAAACTTACTGGTGAGAAGTTAAACGCCGCAAAAGAAGATTTTAATCTGTTGCTGCATCATGGTGTCAAAACACGCAATCAATGGACAAGTCCCATCCACATGATGCCCAAAGAGTCCGGTGGCTGGCGCACTGCAGGAGACTTTCGCTTAAAAATCAACATAAAAAAATTCCATATCGGTGGAAGTGAAGTAGTCTACTTAGGCTATTCTGTGAGCCAGCATTGTTACCAGCCTCCTGAGGAAAAAGTTATCCAAAGCCTCAAACAGTTGTTGACTCGCGCCGCTTCCTCGGTATTGTAAATTATTATAGGCGTATTTTGCCTCACGCAGCAGTAATTCAAGCTTCCCTCAGTGAGTGCCTGAAAACAGCGCCCATCTCGCTGTAAATCCTTTGGAGAATACACAAAGCCCACGTTTTTTGTAGAATTAAAGTTTAAAATTTGTTATTTAATTTTCCGTTGTCAACGAATAAGAATAAATTAAATGTCAAATAATTGTTCAGTGATTGCAAATCAGTTTTAGAATAGGCTCATTCCCTACTTTTAGTTTTAGTTTAGTACTTTTTTTAAGGCGGTAAAATGTAGTTTTTTCAAGAAGGAAACATCGATTTTGCTAAGGGAGTCAAGATGGCGGATTAGAGCGAGAACGCTGTCAATATCCAACACCTTGTATTATTCCACCATGGTTATGAGCAAGGTGTATTAAACAAGGTGTGATTGACAACTCAGTTAGGCTCTCTTTTAAGGTACTATTATGCCAAAAAATATAAACAATCGATTCAAAATTCATACAACATTTTTTCAATTTGACTTTAAAGGATGGTAATACATTTTGGTTATGAGTAATACGTATTATGGAAACTCTTCGAATAGCCAAAGCATAAATTCCAATTTTTTTAGACTTAATCTTTGACAATTTTATCGCTTTTGTCTGTTTGCAATTTGATCGCTCTTTTCGGTTTGCTTTTTCCTAAAGTGAATCGAAAGTACCATACCATGTGTTTGTTTTTGAAATATAAATATTTAACTTATTTTTCTTATCTGTTTATTTTGTTGCCAAATATCCACAACATTTTTTTTTTTTTTGGGCATTTGGTTCAAAACAATTTTTTTCCATATGACATTGACGATTTCAAACAATATTCTCAACTGTTGCTAGATTGCAAGGAAATGCATATGTATACAAACAATGGTTGCCAAAAATATTCGAACATGTAAAAATAATGTTTACAATTTAATTAAATATACATATGTGCTTATATTCTCTAGCGAAAGAAATATTATTAGAGACAAAAAAAATAATGAAAAACCAAAACTTTTGTTTTATAATAAACAAATTTTAATAACAAAGTTTTTAACAAACAAATATTTTGATTAAAAAAAATAATATTTAAAACAATTTCCGAATATACTTTGTATGTCAGAGAAAAAAATTTTGACAATAAAGTTTAAAAATTTTCAGAAAATTTAGCAACTTTTTCTCAATTTTCGGCAAATTTTGAAACTTGTATTTCAATGGTTTATATTATGGAATGGCATTAACGTTTTTTTTTTTGAAAAACATGAATAGCTGCATTTTTTTGTAACCGAGCGACTAAAGAACGCTTAACACGAGTAAAATTTCCGTTAAGCTATTTAAGCAATACTTTGTATGTCAGCGAAAAAAATTTTGACAATAAAGTTTAAAAATTTTCAGAAAATTTAGCAACTTTTTCTAAATTTTCGGCAAAGTTTGAAACTTGTATTTCAATGGTTTATATTATGGTATGGAATTAACGTTTTTTTTTTTGAAAAACATGAATAGCTGCATTTTTTTGTAACCGAGCAATACAAAAATACAAATCAAGTACATATTACGAAAACAAAAATTTCTCTGCACCTAATAGCATTAAAAATAATCTCTCTCTGTGCGCACACTTTTTCTAGTGGGTGTAGTAAGAACTCTTATAGTGATGAAATGAGATAACTATAAGCAAATGAATATCTTACAAAAATAATAATAACTGAAAATTCGGTGGAATTAACATTTATTTACAAGTTTATACTAATTATAAACAATTGTCTGTGCATCATTAACGAAATATTCAAGCATATCCAGATATACAGTATGATGTACTATTAAATCGATTTCAATGAAATATCTACCATTGATGACTGTATGTATATCTGCATGCAAATACATTTTTATATCCATACATTAGGCTGACTCACCAAAAAAAAAAAGTCGCGAGTTTTCTGCTGCAGATGGAAAATTTATTTTATTTAAAAACTTTTGCCAAAATAATTCGGAGAAATATTATCTACACCAAAATTTGAGATTTAAACAAAAAACCTTTGGAAAATATTTTTTTAAACTGATTTTAATTAAAATAACTTCCACCAAAAAATGTCGCAAAAAATTTCGTGAGCTGGACCTTTTAAAAAATACCTCTAAAAATCAAGTTTTTATATATGTATGTATGTATATGTATGTATATAATTGAGAGGTAAATCTGTTGGATAACTGTTCTTTAATAGAAGTTTCCTCCGCCTTCTCTAAGTGACTCTTTGAATCATTTGTACCGAAACAACTTCGAGTGATTTCTCAATTAAATAATACGAAGCTCAATTACCAGATATGCTGCTAGTTAAAGAATGCTTAATAGGCTTAATGTTCGACAATCATTTTGAATTCGTCATAGGCATATAAGTAGATACCTAGCATCGAGTTGGTGGGAGGTATTTGATTATTTCACAAAACATACCCTCACTGTGACGTAGTATGTATGTATCTGAGATTTCCATTTCACATGCAACAATAAAAGCAGTAGCAAGAAAATACCTCAACAACAACTAAAACGTAAAACAACAACAAAAAATAAAAACGACAGCAGCTAGCAGAAAGAGGGGCACGTACTATCGATTCGAGCTGAAAGAACCGACGCAAGCGTATGGACTTTACCTAGATACTACCCTGCAGGAAATTGAATTAGTTTGAAAGTAATTTATAAAGTACCTTATTTTCAATGATAACTAATGGAAATTCTTACTAACATGGCGATGTCATAGGAAGCAGTCAATTGGCTTTTCCGCATGTATTTTCAACTACTTTAAAACGAATTTGGCTTAAGCAACTTCAAAGTCAGTAGATTTCGTTGGAATACACTTTCGTTCTGCACTTCACAGATGCTTTTTCATACTTCCAAGACACAAATTAGTTTTTTAAGCAAAAATAATATAAAAATTCGAAACATTTACTCAGTGCATTTGTTTTAAAGTAGATAGTCTTTCATTTAGTTGATTAAAAAAAAAAATCACTAGCTTCCGTCTGGGTAGCTTTTGCTGATGAAATTTACAGAGCGCGTGACTAAGCTCATTCTATATAGCAGAACTTTAACGTAAATTTGTGAGAAAAAAAAGAAATAAACAAAAATATTTATCCTGCATTGTTTTAATCCGTTGTGATGCTCGTTATCGGCTATGCGGCCTACACAGCCCGAGCTGCTCTCTCGGATCTCGAATCTCGCGCCCAACTGCCTACTGCCCCTTGCCGCCTTTCTTCGCGACCACTTCAGCATCGTTCAGCAGCCATACCGGCCTCTTTTTTTCGTTGATTAACTATGCTATGGGCAACAACAGCGTATAAACTATGCTCAACAAAAGCTTAAGGCTTTTACAGCTGGTGTCGTCGACGATGTTGAGGAGGTGTGTGCGACTGGTACATATGTATATGCATACATATATATTTATGTGTATGCAACTTATGCGAAGTCATTGGAGAGGGCGTGGACGTCACAGAAGAGCGGCCCACATGCTTGGGAGCGAAATACTTATCAGGCGCACGCGATTTATGTACTGACGCACAACATGAGCTCGCATGAGGCGGGCGACCAAAAACCAAAACGACGATAGCAGGAACAGAAGCTACACACAAGCACCTAGCTAGTCGCCAGAAGCGTCGACACCTATACCACCATACCGCCGAACAGTGCAAGCGCTTTAAAGTTGTAGTGTGCGTATAACCATTTAGCGTGCGCACCCCTCCACCGCCACCCCAATCAACGCGCCGCAGCGCACTACATGGATAAAAGGCAGACACAAAAGTTTTTATATTTCATGCGAGAGGCGCATTTTGTAGCATTTACTAGTAAGCAATCGCGTCGTGCAGAAGAAAGATACGATTTTTCAATTTAGCGCGCGCTTAATTGAAATAAAACGCATAAAGCGGGCAGTTAGTACAACTTAAAAAAATAAGCGTCAAAAAATAAAATATACTCAACAAACTCGAAAATAAATATCAATTGCTAAGTAAATAAACATATCTGGATACGAGTTCATATTGATGTGAAAATCACAAAGGAAAAAGGAGAAATAAAAACCGTTCGAATATTGTGTATAGAGAAAATCAAAAGCGGAGCAGGAAGTAAATCAAAAGCTGTGTGAAATAACATATCAGAAGGATACAGCGTTAAGCAATAACTTGAGCAATACACAAGAACGCCGGATAAGTTATAGAGACAAAAAAGACAATGACAGCAGGTTTAGCAACAACTAGTCAGTTAAGGATGTCGAGGCGCTGCTAAGTATTTTTAAAGCAATCGCTTAAGGGAATTCGTGATGATTAAGATTTTCAATTTGTTTTAAACGCGAAATAAGTTGTAGAAAGAAAGTAGTAAAAAAGGTAGTAGGAAAAAAGTAGTAGAAAAAAGTACTAAAAAATCTAAAAGAAGAAATTCGATTTGGGAAAAGCCTCAAAACGCGGCAAAGATATCAGCTACTACGTAGTATTTTAAAGTATTGTATGTGCATATGTAAATGTCATATCAACGGCAAGGACAAAGAGCAATAAAAAAGCAACACAAAAACAAAAATTTTAAATAAAACACAACTATAGGATACACCGTCAATGTCATGGTACTACAGAGCATGCGTCAAAATTATTCATTGCCAAAGTGTGGGTGTTAAGGATATACAGGATTCGTAACAAACAAAATAACGTGAGAACAGGCGCAACGCTCGTTAAACGTAAGCATATGTATCTACAGTGAAAAAGCGCGCTCGAAAATAATTCGAAGCCGAAAATAGAATAACCGAGTAGCAAAACATTAAGCATCGGCGTGCCGGACAACAGAAAGTCCAATTGGTGGATGAAGCTGCAGTTAACAGTTAGACGAAAAACGTCAATCAGCGGCAGCAGAAGTGCATTACTTGAGCTGAGCTGAGCTGAGCTGTGTGGTTAGCCAACATTACACAACAACTTAGAAACGCATTGACAATAACATTCGAAGGGCATACATACAAGTGAAGTGCAAGCAAAGTGGAACTAAACAAATAAAAACAAGCTCAAAACAGAAAAAAGAAAAGAGAAGCTAAAGTAACACTAACAAGACACTTGTGAAAATCAGAGTGCGAAAAGAAATATCAAAATAGCAAAAGCTGGCAATAAATATTTGTTTCAAAAATCATTCCTCAACTTGAAAAAGAGAATAAAGCAAAGTGCATTTCGCAGCTCAAATTCATAAATATTCAATTAACAATAAAAAAAACGCATTTACATAACCGAAATTCACTCGTTTTGACTACAAGCCAACGCATACTACCTTCTGGCACACATACACACATATCTACTACTCGCCACCTTTACTCCGCTTAACTAAAAACCAGCAGAGTATTAAATAATTCTAAGTGCTCGAGGAAAAACAAATTTCAAACAGTGCAAGCGTCCCATCGCTAGCAAACATGTCAACAGTATCTACAGATAATGCGTCCGCGAAGGTGGACGGAAAGGAGGAGAGCGCCCACCTGCTGGAGGCAGCTGTCAACGGCGAGAGATATGGATCGAATAAAGCGGTATGCAAAATTAAATTTACGCTAAGTTAGACAAGGTTAAGGCAAAGATAAAAAAAAAAATTATGAACTATTCTAAGAAGAAACATAATTTTCAGTGACTTTAACTATCCGTTCATGCTATTCTTAATACCAAAGCAAATTTTTTATCTCCTCAGCACACCTTATTTCATAAAATCATCAAGATCGAGAATACAAAAAAATACAAATATCATTTTTAGGAATTTTTTTGTTTGAAGACAAACCGGTTTTTGTGCTTCATTCTGCAACGAAAAAGTACACTGAAACTTCCCAACACCGAAATTGATTTGTCTAAAAACCACTTTTGACAAAGATTGGCGAAACTCCTTCCAAAATACATGAACTTTAGATACTTTGCGTACTAGTTCCATTACAACTTTTCATAAAAAACAATCGTGGTTGTCTTGAATCAAAGATAATATGTCGATTTTTTCCAAATTTTTCACTCGGCGAATTTTAAATCTTTACCTCCAAAACATTTCATTAGAGTTTAATTTTCATTCAAAATTATTTCGAACACAATTAAAATAAATCGCTTTTTATGGAATTTAGTTCGTGATAAAATTTTTACAATTGGCAAATTAACAATTTTATTGAGTATCTGTTTGGGACTGAACAAAAAAAATAATATTTTTATGCGTTAAAATTATTCAAATAAAAATGCAGCAACATTGTTACAATTTTAGTAAAATTTCTAAAGCTTAAAATAGAAATTAACAAAAAAGTTCCAGATAAAAATCATGTTGCCTTTTTATATTTTTGTTTTTTTTTTACCAAATTTTTATTCAAGCAAAACTTTTCTATACAGATTTTATTACGAAACTCAGTTAAATTGAGTAAAATTATTTAATTTTCGAGTATTGAATTACTTAAAATAAAAATATACATGGCAACTCTGTTACGATCATAAAAATTAAGACTGTCGAAAATTTCATTATTTCATTGCCATTTCTTTCTCTATTTCTGAATCTATTATTTAAATTAAAAAAATACACGTTATAAAAATATACGCATCATAAGAAATTAGGCCCACAAAAGAAACAAATATTCTTGTATCAAAATGTATTAAGTAAAAAGTATGTCCTACTAGTTAAATTTGGAAAGCTAAATAGCCGTCAATTATTTTCATTGATGTCCAAAATTTTTATTAGCCTAAGTAAATAAGTAATATGGCCACCAATTTGCGCCACTTCCTCAAATTTTGCTACACAGTGTAATTTTGTTTATATCTACTAAAAGCGCTATAAATAGATGTCTTATGAGAGTTATTGGTAGGCGAGACCAACTAAAAATATCTGATAAAAAAAAAAATAACAAGCAGTTGAGTGTGCTGCCAAGCCCACATTTGGCACTGACCACAGAGCACTAACAAGTACATACTACTGAATAACTAGTCGAAATCGAAATTTGTAATTACACATTTATAGCGCCATTACAATCAGCGTTGTTGAAATACTACTGCACATAAAGATTACCTATTTACGGTAATGTACACAAACAAGCAGACACAATCCATATGCACCCAAGTGCGTTTCGCGCTCCAGCTTGCACTTTGGACACCAACTATTGGGTCTTGGCGCGGCTCCCGCAGCTAACATAGTTTAATAGTCGCTAGTCGAATCCACCACGTACATTTGCCTGGTGTTTTATTTGCTTATTTATACATTTAGGGTATTCACAAGATGTCGTAAGCGTCGTAGTGTCTTAAAGTCGTAATTTCTTTCAATGTAAAATAACTGTTGAAACGTTTAAAAGGGATTTTTAGGGTATTAAATATTTAAATATCGGTTTAGCAACATTTTGGTGTGATTAAAAATGCTCTAAAAGCATTTTAACCGTTATTTTACATTGAAAAATTTTACGACTTTTAGACATTATGACGCTTACGACATCTTGTGAATACCCTAATTGTATTTTTTGCAATTGAATTGCTTTTTTCGCTTTTTTTCCTACTTCAGCTTAGCTTTTTGGCTTGCAGCCTTACCAATGCTACTCATGGAAAATTTTTTAAGACGTAATATGTTATGTGTCTGTGCTAACGACCGCTATGTAGTGCTGGTATATTGTTATGTTTGCATACAAATCGAAAATAATTCGCGCTTCTACATATTCTATTCGTGACTTCGTTATTTATTTTTTCACTTTCGATTTGGCGCTCACTACCCACTCACATTTGGATAGTATCTGTCATTATCAGACATAAAAATTTACATACAGGTATGTACACCATATTTATATTTATATCGCTTCTGATCTGCAATTATTCAAACTACTTTTGATTTTTACGCAGCGCGCCATGAACAGTGCAACATTGGATTGGACTTAATTACATATAAGTCAAATGATTTGAAGGTAGATTGCATCTCGAAAGGCACAAGCTGTCTAAAGAGGTGTCGGTGCATATAAACACAGGTGTACTTATAACAGTTGATTTTTATAGTCAATTTTGTAATAAAAATTCTGTTCTACTATCAAATATAAATTACTCTATATGTATGTAAGATCGACCTGTATCTCGGTTCAAAAACGTCTATCTCAGCAAATTTTTCAAGAACACTCTAGTTCAGAATTTGGTTGGAGAACGCCCTATCTCAGCAACTGGTCCAAGAACACCCTATTTCAATGTAAATTCAATATATCGGCAGCTCAGATAAGGCGTACTTCAAGCAAATTCTGAAGTAGGCCGTTCTTGAATAATTTTCTGAGATAGGCCGATAGGGATAGGTCGATCTTCCACTCAGCTTTCGACATTTACAAAAGTCTCTAACCATATCTGAGCTATTTTATGACACTGATGTCTTACAAAAATAAATGATATTGAGCTTACTTTTTTATTAGCGAATGTTAGAGACAATCATGAAAAAGAAGAAATTAAAAGAAATATGAATTTGAATTTTATAAGATGTTAGTTAGATACTCTATAATTACAAATGGGAGAAATAAAATATAAGGTTTCGATCCTAATGGCACTCGTCTACACGGACTTGGAATCTTCTTGCATTTTAGTTTTCTTTTACTATAATGGGTAGTATCACATAGGTGCAATGAACTTTTGAACAAAATACCTTATTTATTATTTATAGGATCCTTTTTTCTCATATACTAAAAAAATAGTTTTTTTTTCTACACTTATAGGCTCCTCTGGCTCTCATGGCTTCAGATCATCTACATACGTGCAACTCTTCAGTGCAATGTATTTCGTGGTCCATGCCTAATGAGACTCGAGCAGTGGCAGAAAAGATGTGCTCTGATCCGCTTTCCTTCCACGTCTCACAGTTTATCATAGAAATTGTTATGGTCCTGTCAAGGCAAGAAATTATCTCGCGGAATGTCTCTCAGGAATAACGGGCTTTCCTTTATCCCGATCAGTTTCTGCTTCTGGTCGTTACTCTTGAGTCTACTCGGCTCCTCTAGCGATCATTTTTGATGCCCAACTTTATAATAACAATTTTTATTATTTAATGGCTAGTGGAAATGCAGCATTAGTAAATTAATCATTTATTAAATTATTCCGACAATCATCGCAATAAATTAAAGTTTATTAAAAATTTCCATGTTTTTGCAGAAAATTGTGATGATCTAATTACGACCAATTTTATTGACTAAATTGCTTAAATTGACAAATTTTAGCATATGTAAAAGCTTTCTCAATTGCTGACCTTTAATTTCAGTTGTCACTTTATTTGCAAACAAATTAATTAATTTTATGTTCTGAATAATTGTATTGCGTCTAATAACTCAATTTGTTGGAAGGGACGAACATATTTATGTACATTAGACTGCATCACTCCGCATACGAAAAAAAATCGGTACTGTTTCTCCATTGAAATTATAAAATCTATTATATTTTAAGACCTCCACCAAAATATTTCGGAAAAATATTAAGATTTAAGCGAGCTGGACCGATTTGAAATCACCTCCGAAAATGGAGTTTTTTATGAATAAAAATACTTTCTTAAAGATGTTTTTTGAAAAAATGCCCTCAAATGACAAAACGGTTTAAGCTTAAAACATGTACATAAAAATATTAAAAAAAAAATTTCAAAAAATTTTTACGGAATCATAATAATAAGATTTTTGATGCAGATTTTTGAAGCCTAATCTGTTTTGTCATCTGAGGGGACTTTTTTCAAAAAGTTCTTTAAGAAACTATTTTTATTCATAAAAAACTCAATTTTTGGAGGTATTTTCAAATCGGTCCAGTTCGCATAAATCTTAATATTTTTCCGAAATATTTTGGTGGACGTCTTAAAATATAATCGATTTTGTATTCCCAGCGGAAAAACTGCAATTTTTTTGTGATGCAGTCTAATGTACATACATACAAACTAAAAATAAAAAATATGTTTGCCATCAAAATCAATGGTTCGTTACGCAGGTCAAGCAAGTCAATTTAGAACATTTATTTTCATGCTTGCAAAACAAATCATTATGTTTGTTCCTCACGAGCCCGCGGGAGCCAAAATAGCCCAGAAAGCGTTCCTCACGCTAGAAAAATGGGTGATAGAAAGCGAATACCCTCCACTTTTTGATCTTAAATTTCTTCTTCTTCACGCCCGAAACAGCCCGGACTTTTTTTCCGGGCAGAAATGTGCATGAAGTCAATTTGAAATAACAGTTGTTGTTTGTTTACATCCGAAAGCAAATTTTGTAAAATAAAAAACTAGAAAAAACTCAGCGTTTAGAGCTGTGTTTTTTTGCTTTCCTCTCACGCTCTGGGAACTTTTGACACGTGGTGACACATTTCTGGCACTTATGTGAGAGTAACTTATTTTTACGCTATAATTACCGAAACAGCCCGGAAAGCGTGTGGAACAAACCTATTAATGGTGATAAAATTAAGCCTAAAGAAACCTAATATGCACGAGTACACATAAACATACACCAATGCTATTAAAAATAGAGCATCTACATAAATATGTTTACATATGTATGTGTGCGCATATGTTTAAAAAAAAATGTGTCATATAAAATTACCCCTG